AAACCCTCCTTGGAGCTCGGTGAGAATACCCTCTTTCTCCGCCCATGTTGTCATGCGCTCTTTCAGGATGCTTGCGAAGACCCTGTACACAATGCTGGTGACTGTAAGGGGCCTGTAGTTCCGAAGGTAGCGCCGATCTCCTCCTTTCTTCGGCACAAGCACAACCCTACCTCGCCTCCAGTCTCTAGGTACAGGCTGTCTTCCGATGAGAATGTCCGTGAAGATCTCAGCCAGGTGTTCTCTCGAATCCTTTTGTAGTGTTTTGAGGACGCATGCTGGTATCTCGTCTAAGCCTGGAGCCGTGCTGCTTTTGACGTGGGCCAGAGCACGTACAATTGACACTAGGCCAATCTTCTCGTCGGAACTTGCGAGAGTACATTCCGTGCTGTTCTCTATAGTGATTGTTTGGACCAGCGCCGTTTCCTGTGGTGCGAACACTTCCATCAAATGCTCTGTGAGACACTGGTCAAGCGCGTTCACCTCCAATCCTGTGCGCTCGTCTATGATGACTGGAGTTTGATCCCTGCCGTCCAGGGTTCCCAGGTATTTCCAAAACTTCCTGGGCGCATCTTTCCCACTTGACCGTATTTCCCTAATTTTGTCTAGGTCTGCAGCAGCCAGCTTCTGTTGTACCAGTTGTTTGGTGGCGTTTTTTTGTTCCTGGTACATTTTCCACTTTTCTGCGATCTCGTGGCTGGACCCCGTGTGGAGTGCGAAACGGTGCTGCCGATTCACCTCTTTTCGCAGTTGGATTGCAGCTTGGACCTCTCCATCCCACCATCGCTTCCGTCGCCTCCGGCCACCATGACTCTTTGTTGAATGCTGTCTTATCAGTTGTTTTAGTGTATCTACGTATTCCACGTACCCTGATACGTTCTTCCTCTGGTCGCTTTTCTCAAACATTTCAACTACATTAGCCGCAGCTGCGTGGGAAAGATACGGCCGACTTGTGTCATGCCGCTTGTTTCTCTCTTTATTCCACACTCCTTTAGACAGCTGAAGAGTAATTCTATTGTGATCACTGCCTAGGCTATTCTCCCCCGCTTCATCAATTTGGACGCGTAACAGGTATCGCCCCAAATGATGTGAGATCAGGGCATAGTCAATGCAAGATTTGCTGTCGCGTGCATTCCATGTATATTGCCCTTCACAATTGGAGCGTAGGTTGATTACTTCTAAGTCTAGCTCTTCCGCTATTTTCCGTAGCATGCGCCCGTTGTCGTCCTCCCGTCCATCCAACTCGTGTATATGTCCATTAAAGTCTCCCATGATTAGCAGATTTTTTCCGGTTGCCATTGTTCGTGCGTCGTTAGCTATACACTCCATAGATAGACGGTTCTCCTCACGACGCGCGCTTCCCACCGAGAGGTACAGAATACACACTGCCACAGGCAAACCTAAAAGTTCCCCAGTTAACCACAAATGTTCCTTGCACCCCTGGAGCTCTCTTTTCCAGTCTGACCCACTGCGCCAAAAGGCCCCCACTCCGCCTCCACGTCGCTCTCCTTCTACACGATTGCATCCTGCCCAGCGCCAATCGGGGTGTGCAGGGGGTTCCTCAAAATCTCTCATATGAGTTTCCGCCACTCCGAACAGTAACATATTTGCAGCCTCCATTTCTTGGAAGAGTTCTTGCCACTTCTGCTCTCTACGCGCTCCTTGTAGATTTAAGAACCCCGCTGTGACCGTTGCCTGCCGTCGGCACTTTCGTTTTCTTCTTCTACCTCCACACTTGCGCCGGTTATTGTTGAAGGAACGTGCAGCGGCGCTGTCTGCCTGGAGCACCTTTAGTGCACCCATCCCCGCTCGAGCTCCATATGATGCTGTCTGTTTCTTTGTGGCGTCGTATTGTAAAAATAACGTGGGCGCGGCAGGAGTGGTGGGTGCAATGGAGCCACAAGTCTCACAGGCATTCCCTGTGGAAGGGGCATTGTAGATGACACTGCCATACCCGGGCCATATTCTTGACGCCCCACCGCGTGTATCTGTGTGTTGCCGATTGGTTCCATGGCGATGGGGGACCCATAAAGCTCGTGATTGAGGTCGGCAGTTGGGACTTGGACTCTCCGATAGTTGTTGGGAAACACTGGGTCGCTCAGGTAGTGGGTCTGTCGATGCGGGTCTATTTCTTCTGCAGCATAGTATAGATCTTGTGTGGGGGGATGGTAGGGGACACTGTGTGCTTGAACAACACGAAGTGTACGTGTCTTTTTGTAGTCCGCTTGGTTTTCCTCGCCCCTTACCATCTGTACTGTACCTTGGGGGCCATCTGTGCGTCCCCTGTTTTGATATCTTTTGTTTCGGTTGCCTAAAAAACGACTCGCTACCGCCCCCACAATCTCAGACACGACTTTCACTCTTTCTTTCTGGTAGTGTAGTCCATCTTTTTCCATCGCTCTTTCTGTCATGCCATGAGAGAGGTCAATGAACTTCGCTCTGATAACCTTGCACAGTCGCTTAAGTTTGGCATTAAGCAGCATGGTGGCGGCCTGTAGCCCCTTTCCTCTGCTGTCAATCTCTGGGACGGAGCAGATGGCTAATGCCGACTTTCGTTTTGACCACCTCGTCTGTAGGCGATTTACGATTGAATCGGGATTTTCGCCTTGGAGGATGTCATTGACGCCTATATGTAATATGTACATGCGGGGAACCGTTCGTGCCTGTTCCTCATATGTGTCGATGAGTTGATGGATAACATCGACCGTACCTTTCCTATTGAGTAAAATCTCTAGCCTCTTGGGATCACGGACCTCATCGTGTAACGTTGGCGCAATGCGTGCGACATTGCTATCTCCAGCGAAGATAACCTCTCGCGTGACTCCGTGTGGGGGCCGAATTTCGGCTCCAGAATTGCCTTTACCGTTGCGTTCTCCCGAGTTCGTCGCGCTTGTGTGTTGGTCTTGAATGGTAGCATCTACTTCTCGGTTTGTCGCGGTTATGCCTCCTTTGGGGGCTTGTGTGGTGTTTAAGCTACCACAGGCTAGATGTTTCGGACACTGCGTCGTTTGCTGGGCATACTTGCTCTGCGACAGCTGTTTTATCTCCTGTTTGTTATTTCTTATGTTTTGACGCACGTTTGTGGGTTCATTGTCCTTGTGTATCTCCATTTGATGACTCCCCTCTATCTCTGTGGTTTCTGGTAACTTGGACGTAGTTTGGGAGCGATTCTTGGACCAGGTTGGAATGTCTTTGGAAGTGGACGTTGTGTCTCGCCCATTCCCTGCGTCTTCAAGTGTACTCTCTTCGCGTGTCTTGATGGTACACCCCTCCTGGTTGTCTTGGGAGTTCTCTGGTGACGTCACACGCAGGTTGTTTAGCTGAACAGCCAAGAGTCTGTTGAGCCTTGTTTCTAGCCCTTCACAGCGGGCAATCAAACCCACCAGTGCCTCTCGACCTTCCACCGTCTCTCGCCATTTCTTCTCGGATCTTTCAAACAGCAGTGCCATTTGAGCCATATTTTTCCTGTCTGTGTCCACTTGGTATAATCGCTCAGTAATCTGTCTCACTTGGATTTCAAGGTTTTCAATTCTCTCCTGTTGAGATCTCTGCTGCGTAGAGTCTAGTGAGGTTCGCAAAGTGCAGTTACAGTCGGCAGTCCTTATCTCATCTATGCTCACATGCTCTGCCTCATTGGGCGGGGTGTCTGGTAATGTCGAGCAGCAATCAATTACTTCCTGGTTGCTCTCATCTCCAACTATCTCAATGAAAGTCGCACTGTCCTGGTTGATGTTCCCAGGTGCCTTGGCCTTCTGACCAGCGACCGGGCAGGTTGTGGCTGGCCAACCTTTTCCTGTGATCTGGCGTTCTGGCGTAGCTTGGGTCAGTGCATCAGACGACAATCGTGTGGTTAGGTGATGTTGATCCTGGTACTCCTGGACACCAGACGTGGTCCCTGCCCTTGAGAGCTCCTCAGCGCAGTCAACGTATTCTTCGGTATCAGAAGTAATCGCTTTCAGGGAAATTATGTTGGCTTCGGTATACACTTCTTCTTCATTCTCCGCCACGATGATGTCCAGTCGCTCTTCAGAATGAATACCCTGCTGGGCATCTATCGATAAATCGGGCTGTAGATCTGTGAGAGCTTCAGTGGTAGCCTGTAATCGTTCTAAAAGTTCGTTTTTGTTACCGGAGGTAGAAAGGCCCCGTGCTTATTACTCTGCTTGACCCCGCCATCTGGTGGCTAACGATTTAACCTTTCACGCCACGCGATAAACAGCGGCTTCGGGTTAGTTCTTTCGAGAGCGGCTTTTGGTTTCGCGGATTGAGTTTGCCCCTCTCCGTGATATGCGGTTGACGAAGGAATTGTGACTCGAGGAACACCAAAGGTAAGACGCAAAGTGCGCGAAGTAACTGGGTATCGGCTGTCTCCATTTAACATCGCTGTTGAATAATTAGTGCAAAAGAAGAAGAAGATGTAACAAGAGATATATAGACGACGAGGACGACGAGAACGGAGGAATCGATGGTGACTCCGGCAGCAACTGGAACGAACATGTAAATATTGTACATAAACCCTTCCTTCTTAACGAACTCGCTACATTTAATCCTCTTAACGAAGAAACGTAACATAAATTTGGTGCCGAAACCCGGGAGTAGCTGAGTCAAGGAAAGGCAAAAAAAGACTTGGAACATCCATTGTAAAACCCAACGATCACCCGAGTGGACTTACCTTAACGAAAATGGATCAACTGACGCCAGCCGCCATCGAACAACTTAAAAGAAGAAGAACCGTGATTCGATCGGCGACCACCAGGATCATTTCCGAAATCGTCACTCTTCTAGGCATGGAACCAACGCCCATCGGGGAGCTGGAAGAAAGACTTAACATCTTGATACTCAAAGAATCTGCGTTAAAAGAAATCGACGATCAGATTGAGAGAGCCATCATCGATGACACGCTGGAACAGGAGATGGTAAACGCAGAAGGCTACTCCGAAAGAATTAGCTCAACGAAAACAAAAGTCCTACGGAAACTAAAAGAGCATGAACGAATGACTACCATGACATTGGACACCTCAATGCCAGGCGCAAGTTCAAGACCACCACGGCCTATCAGTCAAGAACACGCAACGGTCAAACTTCCAAAGCTGGAAATTGCAAAATTTACGGGTGACATACGGTCATGGCAAGGTTTCTGGGACCAGTTTGACGCTACAATCAACCAAAACGTCTCTCTGTCCGAAATTGACAAGTTTAAATACCTGAAAAGTTACCTTACAGCTAAAGCTGCTACAGCAATTGAAGGGTTACAACTGACAGGTGAAAACTACACCGTTGCACTGGACCTCCTGAAAACAAGATTCGGGAAAAAAGAGCTCATCGTAGAAGAACACATGTCACGGTTACTAGCAGTGAGAACAGTCAGTAACTCTCACAACGTGGAGAAGCTCAGGTTGTTGTATGACGAAGTTGAGACAGGAGTCCGAAGCCTTGAGGCGCTTGGTGTCTCTTCAAACACCTACGGGACACTCCTACTAACAGTCCTGCGAAAGGCTGTGCCATCAGACCTCGAACTAGAATATCATCGAAAAACAACACCGGAAGCGACAAACGAAGTCAACGACCTAAAACAGTTTTTGAACTTCTTGAAAAGCGAAATCGAAAGTCGAGAGCGGACTCAGCATGGAAACCAAAGAGTCCAACCAACTTCCAGTATGGCCAGTTCTTCAACTGGGAGGAACGAACGACCTAAACGATATCCACCTTCGACAGCTATGTTCGCGACAGGAACGAACACCAACGAAAACCAGTGCCTGTTCTGCGGATCAGCTGACCATATAACTGCCAACTGTTCGGTGCACATGCCCCTGGACCGAAAAAAAAGAAGTCCTGAAAGGGAACAATCGTTGCTTTCGATGCACTAAACCTAACCATTGTGCGAAGAATTGCAAAAGCGCAAGGTGGCTAAAGTGCGATAATTGTTCCAGAAGACATGCAACAACGATGTGCGACCCGAATTACAATGCATTGGAAAAGCAAACTCTGAACAAGCCCTTAATAAGAAGTAACGATGCAGTCCCTACCGGAAATGTGCTCCAGTCCTCTCTAAAGGCAATTGATAAGGAAAACAGAGGGCCTTGCCAAGTGCTTCTACAAACAGCAAAAGCGTGGGCCGAAGGAGAAAGAGACCGTGCGTTCGTTCGGCTCCTGATTGACGGTGGAAGTCAACGCACTTTTGTTAGAAAGGACATCACGGAGAAACTTCACCTGAAGGTTCTCGGAGAGGAAGACTTGAACATATTTACCTTTGGAGAAGGCTCAGCAACTGCTCCAAGAACATGTCGAAGAGTTGAACTATGGCTGCGCAATCAATACAGCAGAAAAGACGTACGCATTGAAGCTTTAGAGGTCCCACAGATTTGTGCCGACATCATTGCCGCACCACCAGAGGTAGCGCTGAGCATACCTGAAGACATGCTCATTGCGGATAGCGCTTTCAGCAACAACGAATGTGAGAAAGGCATCAGCCTTCTAATCGGAGCTGACTATTACTGGGAAGTAGTAAGTGGAAGTGTAAAGCGCTTGGAAAAAGGGCTGATGGCCGTCGACACTATCTTTGGCTGGACTCTACAAGGTCCCGTGCCTTCAACTTCGTCTACTGCTATATACTCATCGATTACAGGAGTATTGAAAGTGACTACAGCTGACATTACTGACATATCTGCACAGCTGCGGTCATTCTGGGAACTGGAACACATTGGGATAACTGCAAAAGAGTCGCCGACCAAAGGAAATCTACTGTTCGAAGAATTTGAGAGCAAAGTAAAATATAAAGAAGGACGTTATGAAGTTTCTCTGCCATGGAATGATCAAGTTGAAGAGCTGAACGACAACAAGGAGAATGCAAAAAGAAGACTTAGGTCGTTAACCGCACGCCTCATGAAAAACAGAGCGTTTATGATGGACTACGACACCACCATTCGGGAATACTTTGTAAATGGCTTCGCAGAAAAGGTCGTAAATACAAAGGAAGCCGGCAATCCCGTATATTACATGCCACATCAAGCAGTTGTGCGACAAGACCGACAAACAACAAAGTTACGGGTTCTCTTTGACGCGTCTTCTAGCACCGCTGGGGAACTTTCTCTGAACGACGTCTTGTCCAGCGGAACAAACTTAAACCCTGACTTGATCGATTTACTGATCGCGTTTCGTACACACAACATCGCAGTAACAGCTGACATCGAGAAGGCATTTTTGCAAGTCACCTTGGCGGAGCAAGACAGAGACGCATTACGTTTCTTGTGGTATGACAGTACACCCAAACAAGGACATCAACTACCACAAGTAGTAACGTGGAGAATGACCAGAGTTCCCTTTGGAGCAACATCAAGTCCGTTTCTCCTGGCGGCCACGGTGAGACACCATTTAGACCTAATGGAAGAAGAATTTCCTCAAACCACGAAGAATTTAAAGGACAACCTGTATGTTGATGACCTAATAACGGGCGCGGAAAATTTGAAAGAAGCAGAAGTCCTCTGCAGAGAAGCAAGGGAGATAATGAAGAGGGCAGGAATGAAGCTTCGGAAGTGGAAGTCAAATAGTCCAATAATATTAGAGGAATTGACGAAAGAAAGTTCCGCCCAAGAGGAACTAATCGAACTGGTTGGTCCAACGAAAGTTTTAGGTGTTGGTTGGGAAACACGGACAGACATGATCAAAGTCGATCTCACTTCTCTCATCAACTTTCTGTGCTCAAGAGAGGACAGCAAACGCTTTGTGTTGCAAGCGTCATCTCGCATTTTCGATCCAATGGGACTACTGGCTCCTGCAATAATCACTGTAAAAATTTTATTTCAGCATCTATGGGAGCGAGGAGTTGATTGGGATGAGACATTACCTGCTGACCTTTACGAAGAGTGGGACGCATGGTGTAAAGACCTCACTGCACTAAAAAACATCGCGGTCCCAAGACTCATTGCTCTCGACTTCTCCAAGGACGAAACAGAAAAGGCGTTACATGTCTTCTGTGACGCAAGTACAAGAGCATATGGAGCTGTAGCATACCTGACATCGAAAGAACAAAATGGGAAGAGGGTGGCTCTAATAATGGCAAAATCGAGAGTGGCACCCCTCAAACGGTTGACACTTCCGCGACTAGAGCTCATGGGGGCATTAATAGGCGCTCGACTGACGCAGTTCCTCACGAGCAAGTTGAAGCTAGAAGGACTTCCAGTATATCTGTGGACGGACTCTACGATTGTCCTGTATTGGATTCGTGGTTCAACAACCCGGTGGAAGCTATTCGTAGCAAATCGAGTCACGGAAATCCAAGCTCTGACGGAACCAAGGAACTGGAGGCATTGCCCTAGTACAGAAAATCCAGCAGACCTCATAACACGGGGACTTATGCCAAAGTCTCTAGTACAGAGCAAGACATGGTGGAATGGACCAATCTGGTTGCATCGCTCCGAAACATCATGGCCGAGTCAAACTCAGGGCAAACCAGAAGGCAATGAATACCTCGCGGAAGAAAAGAAAGAGACTATTATACAACTCACAGTACCTCAAGATAATCAACTGGTGAGCTTGGAAAACTACAGTTCATTTATCAAGTTTATTCGGGTGACGGCGTGGATAAAACGGTTTATAAACAACGTAAAACAACAAGGCCAACGAAGTGGTCTCCTAACGAGCGAGGAAATTATAGAAGCTGAAAAAGTCTGGATTAAAAACAACACAGAATGAGACCTTTTCAATGGAAATCAAACTCTTGCGAGACCAACGACAAGTTCAGAAGACTTCAAAAATCAAGATGCTTAACCCAAATATAGACTGTGATGGGATCGTAAGAGTTGGTGGCCGATTGCAATTTAGCGACAACGAAGAAGAAGTGAAACATCCAATTATTTTACCTGCAGACCACCGATTCACCTTCCTTCTCATCGCTGAAGAACATCGTCGACTACTGCACGCCGGAGTTCAAGACACGTTGACGCAAATACGTGAAACCTATTGGGTTCTAAGGGGAAGGCAAGCCGTAAGAAAGGTCATACGTCGCTGTATAACTTGCCAAAGGCAAACTTGTGCACCAGCCTCCGAGCCTGTAGCTCCACTACCGGCAGACCGAGTATTAAGGTGCGAACCGTTTGAAAAAACAGGGGTGGATTTTGCTGGGCCGCTTATCTGTCGACGTGACTGCGGAAGCTACAAGGTTTACATCGTCCTGTTTACCTGTGCCGTGACACGTGCTGTGCACCTCGAACTGGTGAGCGACCTAACGACAACAGCATTTTTATTGGCATTCACACGATTCGTGGCACGCAGAGGTATCCCGAAAACGATTTATTCCGACAATGCCTCAACGTTCAAAAGAGCAGCCAAAGACATCCAGAGATTGTTTGAATCGATAGAAGGGGAGGAAGTGCAAACGTACTTTGCAAACCATAGAATTAGATGGAAAACGATCGTAGCGAGAGCTGCCTGGTGGGGTGGGTTTTGGGAGAGACTAGTGAGGTCAGTCAAGGTTTCGCTGCGTAAGGTTCTAGGCCGCAGTAGTCTGAATTTCGAAGAACTGACAACTGTCCTCACGGAGGTAGAAGCCGTAGTCAACTCCCGTCCGGTGACTTTCATTTCCACCGATGCAAAAGAACGAGAGGCTCTCACTCCAGCACACTTTCTGGTGGGACACAAATTGACCAGCCTTCCCTCCCATCAAATGCCAGAAGAAGATCAAGCAAGTCCCGAAAACTTGGCGCGAGGTTGGAAATATCGAAACACAGTTATGAATCAATTTTGGAGAAGATGGAGATCAGAATATTTGCTAGAAGTGAGGTCAGCCCACATCGCTAAACCCAGCAATTCAAGCTGTATACAAACCGGTGACCTGGTCCTTCTCAAGGACAATAGACTACCGCGACACATGTGGAAACTCTGCAGAGTCTACGAGACATTCCCAGGAAGGGACGGCAAGGTGCGGTCTTGCAGAATAATTACACCCAGTGGTCGTGAACTTTGCCAGCCGATACAGTTATTATATCCCCTGGAACTGTAAGAATGAGCTTGTGCTCATTTTCGGGGGAGTTTGTTGAATAATTAGTGCAAAAGAAGAAGAAGATGTAACAAGAGATATATAGACGACGAGGACGACGAGAACGGAGAAATCGATGGTGACTCCGGCAGCAACTGGAACGAACATGTAAATATTGTACATAAACCCTTCCTTCTTAACGAACTCGCTAAATTTAATCCTCTTAACGAAGAAACGTAACAATCGCAGTGCTGTCGACGAGAAGACTGAGTAACTGCTTTCGAAACGCAAGTTTCTGTACCTGTGGGGGGAATCTGGCTTCGGAAATAAACACGGTTTGCGGAAAGCTCGTGTTACGCTTTTATTTGCTGCTGCTCTCGTCCCGTACAAGAGACGTACCGTCCTCGTCAAGCCTTATTGGCCTCGATTTGCTCGATTCGGGCCGCCATATTGAGATGCAAGCGACGGAGGAACTTTGCTCCCTTGCTTCAGGGACGAACGTTTCTCCCTTTCTAAAGGAACATAGGTTACAAGACCGTTCCTCCCCTAAGGGAGGACTATCCATACCCTTTTTTCTAAGAGTGCAGCACGCACTAGAAGGGAAGATCCACCTACTCGTGCAGCGATCTCGTGGCGGCACTCTCAAGACAGCAGAAACGCCCGTGCCGTCGTGTTTGTTTACTTCGACTGCTGTGGTGCTTTCTTAACATTGATGTCCTCGAACATCGCCCGGATTTCTTTTTTGGCGCATTCCATGCGTGTGTTCATGTTCAAGGCATTACTGGTGCGTACCGTATAAAGGATGCGAATTTTCACGCGCTTTCATCATCCGAGAGAGTTTTAGTAGATCGTTTTGGTTCTCTCGCTACGCTATTAGCCCCCAGAGCGAACACAAGCGTCGCTGCGGTCGCCGCGCCCTGATTGGGTGAGGCGTACCGTGACGTCAGGGGGAGTACTCCGCTCCGCGATCTCGCATCGGCTCGCTTCCCAGCACCGGTTTCCTGGTTTGGCGTTGTGTGCCGCAAGCTCTTCGAGGAGCTAGACTTCGTTTACCCGGTGTACAAGACGTTGAGTTAAGGCCCGTTCACACTCTTGCGACCGAGTACGACTGAGAGCGACTTCTTAGGACCGGATGCGAGGCAGCGGAGCTGGTCCTAAGAGATCGCAAGAGGCTTAAAAACCGGTCTGGTCTCTCTCGGTCGTACTCGGTTGCAAGAGTGTGAACGGGCCTTTAGGCCGATATTGACGTGCTTCCGCACATTTTATAAGCCTGCTCGTCCCTTTTACCTTTAAAATTGGGTTACAAATCCCGAAAGCTATCGGAGGAGGCAATTCCGCCGATGAACCTTCCCGCCCGTCCACACGACAGAAGGCAATCTTGCGAGGGGTCGGTGAAGCGGTGGCGCAAGTGTTTCAGACGCTGGAATTCTGTTCCTTGCCTGTTCATGATTTAGGACGATATTACATCCCGCTTTCAAGGCATTTGAAGTGGCATTTATATCATGGGCCTTTGAGTGTTCGGCAAATTAGTTCGCGACCCCGACTCTGCGCTTCCACTCTGCATGCGCTGGTTCGCAGATGTATTAAAGGCCCTGCGTCTGATTATCTTTGAAGTGCTCGTGAAACAGGGCTGTTTTACATAAATGTAGCTTCTTTGTGAATTAATTATATAGTTTATAGACGTGTGCAGGCATATTTCTTAGAAGATGCACAATTACTGAAAATTAGTTTGTATGGTAGCAGCAAAAACGGCCGAATCGCCCGCAGGTGCCTGTATGATATGTATTGAACTGCCCAAGACATGCACAGCGATAGTGCTGTAATTTGCAATGTTTATACTTTTTCCTGATATTCTTTATTCCAGCCTTGGGTATTAAAAAATACACGGTTTAGTCTGAATTGTCATTTCCAATAAAAGAGACTGCTACAGGTCCCCAAAAGCTTCCTCAGCCTTCAAACTCCCTGCAGCTGGACTCTCTGACAACAGAGCAAAACAGGAGTAAAAGCAAGCATTCGAACGTCTGTCCAGCGGTAGATGCAGCACTGGTAGCAGAAAATGTGGAAACTGTGAAGGGCGACAGTCTGCGTGAGAAAAGCTTCTGGTATTTTAGCTTCAGGACAGTTCGATTTAAGTAAAATTTCAATTTTAGGGCTTAAGGGACTAATAACGAGCTAGACACCTTCGCTTACGTTTGTTATACATTGCTTGAGGGTTGATATAAACAAGTCCACAAATATCACCCGTGTAGTCCTTTGAGAATTCAGCAAAGGTTAAATGCGAGCAATGTATATATTAAATGTCCCTTGTTTTTTTTTACTTTGCTCCTGCACTTGGGCTGTCTTACTTGTGATTCTCTCCCCAGGGCCCAGACTGTATTTAGCATGTTGCTCGAGGAGCATGCAGCTTTTCTGCTTCGGAGATCTTGTTTAAAAACAGAGATACAAAAGAAAAATAGTATACATAACCTGCCAATTTATTCAGACCATCAACAGCATTTATTGTGCGAGATGTAAATCTATAATGATGCTCCTGCAATTGTGTCCATATTTCTTTATTTTCATATACCAGCTGCGATTCATACGTTGCCTGCCCTGTCAAGCATGCTTAAAATGTTGGTTGAAGTTTCGCCTGTAGCTACAGGCCATACCTAAATAAAGGCTCATATAAAAATTTACACTTCCTATGGAAAACACGCCTAAAAAAAATTAAATAGAAAGGAGCGCGCCGACAGCTAGCGTCGTCACAGCCTCCACAGGGCGAGCGGGGCGAGTCGGGGAAAAATTCTCTCCTCGCCGTGACGTCACCCCGGTTCGCCGTAAGGGGGCGCCAAGCGAACTTCTCGGGGCTAATACGCTAGAGCGACGACGCTACGGCGCATGCGCGCTGCTAGCGGAAAATTAGCGGAGCTGCGGAGGCTAGCGGAGGCGCGCTGTTCTGCAAACATAGCGCTGGACGTAGCGGGATGTGCTAGCGCGGGTCTCGCGAGAACGAGTCGTTGCGAGATTAGGGAAGGCTGGGGAGAGCCAGCGTTCTCGATCAGTTTCCAAGATGTCCGCCATGTCCGCCGCTCTGCATGTGCCCGCTGCGCGGTCACGCTTCACCGTGGCAGACGACATTCTGCTGCTACAAGAGGTTGCAGCTACCAACCCATTCGAGGATCATGACAGGTGGCGAGCAATCACAGAGATGATGAACAGGACAACAGGAAAAAACTTCACCGCTCGTGCCGTACGCGAACGCTGTGACCTGTTGCTCGGCCACTTTCGTCGAGAAGACAGGACGAACTTCAGAAAGTAAGTACAGTCACCTCCGATCCTTGAGCGTATTTTAAGCAGACATCGGCCAGGCATGCGGTCTGCGGCTCGTTCTGAGATCCACTGCCTGAACTGACCTGTGCAGAACTGGCAAGCGATGATGCAATGAGGGCACAGCCACGGATACGCCAGATTTGCATTCAGTTATAGTACGGGTGTCGTGTTTTCGGAGTTTATATTTTGTGAAATTGGGAGACTGTTTTACGGAGCATATATTTTGCAAGGAAATCGTTGTTTAACGCAGTTTATTTGCGTTCTATTTCCAATTCTCCGAAATTAATAAGACGTGGTCTGCGTTGCTCTTTCCTAGATTTTCCAGGGATTTTTACCGCCCCGGCCAGCTTTTTAGTCAGCTCACATCGATTCCCACTGTACATTTTATTTTCCTCTTGCCTTGCTGATGGGGATGACCTTTTAAGTGCCCATGTGACTTGACATGAGACAACAAAATGTGAAAATTGATCGGATGCAGAGTTTTGTGTTCCTGTTTGATAAGAGCCAATGGCTATGTTGATGCAGCATGACTTTTCATGAGGCAGTTACTTACGGCAAGTGTGACTAGATAAAATTCAGGGTTGTCTCATGCAGATATGCTAAATCTTGACAACTCAACTCACATCTAACAATTAAAGATACTAAATCGCCTTCTATTGAATTGAAATACTCCTGCTGAAATCATTTACATTTTATTCTTCAAACATTAGGTCCGGCACAAAGGAGCAATATTCTGAAAAGGAGCATCTGCTCCAAGAGATAAATGACATGGCTAGAGAATTTGGCCATCAACTAAAGGTGCAGCCCAGGAAAGTGGGCACGACGCCGGGCCACGCCACAGGGCCAGGCAGCAAAACAAGCAAAGCTTCTGCCAGGGCAGAGCTGCAGGCTGCCAATGCAATCAGGGAGACGGCTGTAACGGCAGTCAGCGCAGCAGCCGCTGCTGCGAAGAACATAGCCAACGCAGAGGAGGCAGTGGATGAAGATTTGCACGACATGGGCAAGTATAACCTGCATAGACCAGTGTCCGAAATCCTAGTCTCCAGTGATAAAAATGGGGAATGATAATTTCAATCGCAGGCTTTTGTGAAGAAAGGGGCTGTGCACAAAAAAGATTTTTGCTTTTCACAGCACTCTTGGCATCAGTGTCGTTCTTGGAGCTTCATCACTATGCATTTCCGACATTCTTGCGGTACGGTATGCGCAAAGGTTTAAAAAAAAAAAACAGTCTTGCAAAAATCACAGCCCTCTACACTGTCGTGGCATCAGCGTAAACAAACATTGTGACACCCATCGAACAAACACTGGTCTACAGATATAGATGAAAATTTGATTCCACTGGAATGTGTGATGACATACTTTATTACAAAAACGAATGGATACATTTATAACGTGATTCAGGTATCTTTATAGTTAAGCTTGAAGTTTAACAAACCACAGAGAACTCAAGAGGCTGCCTGTAGTCTGGGAGGACCCTTAATGATAGCAAATTTCACCCAGAAACTTACCTTTTTTAAGGCCACTAGCTCTTCCCGAGCCAACCTCTTCGATTGCCCCCCCCCCCCCCCTCCCTTCCCCTCCCAGCCTCTCCTACACTTCTGTTTCGTTTGTAGAGGCTGCAGAAGAGAACCTCATTCTGTGTAGTGTGCCACATGCTTAGATGCTTCTAGCGTTCGTTACAATGCCTTTGTACGATTCAGAATAGGTTAACCCTGTGCTTGAGGCTGAGCATTGCCAAAACTGTGATT